CTCGCGACAGGGGCGCGTGGAGCGACGCGTCGACGGCGTCCGCGGGCAGCCCCAGGCAGGCCGCGACGTCCGCGGGCTCGAAGGTCCGGCCCGCGGCGAAGGGCTCCGGCGCGGCGATCGTCGACCCGGCGACCTGGCCGTTGCCGTTGCGCGCGATCTCGACGGAGACGTCGCCCGCGGCCTCCTCGAAGACGAGCGCGTCGCCGACGGGGCGGCCGAACGCGACGCCGCGCCGCGCGAGCACGCAGGCCGTGCCGACGTTCGGGTGGCCGGCGAAGGGGTACTCCTCCAGCGGCGTGAAGATGCGCACGCGCGCGGTCTTCGTCGGATCCTCCGGCGGCAGCACGAACGCGATCTCGGCGTAGTTGAACTCGCGCGCGATGCGCTGCAGCGTCTCCGTGCTGCAGCCCTCGGCGCCGAAGACGACGGCCAGCGGGTTGCCGCCCTTGAACCTCTCGTCCGTGAAGACGTCGACGGTCTCGAAGGTCAATTTACGCGCGGGATCGACCTCGCAGAACAAGCCGCTGCTCATGAAATCGGAGAGCGAATGCTCGCTGGACACGCACATGAGCGCCTCCATCGCTTTGGCCAGCGAGCACGAGGCCGCCAGGCAGCTCGATGCGAGGCTGCCAGCGAGGCAGCCAGCCTATGAATAGCCCCTGAGCGCCTCGGAATTGGTTGAAGTTCAGTTTGAACGGCATCTTTGCCCCAGGAGCAATACGAGAGTCTAAGCGGCCGCGCTGCCGTCGAGCCGCGCTGCCACGCCGACGCGACAAGCATGTCGTTCTTCGATTTGAAAGGCCGCACCAACGCCGGCGAGGCCGTGGACTTTGCCACCCACAAGGGCAAATAGACGATTTCAGATTGGCTTTCCAACAAATTGTATCACTAAGTTTACGTCGGTATTGATGCTGTGACACGAAGTCCGCGCTCGGCTATGGACGAAAAAGTCGTCTTCACCAGCCCGTAGCTCGACGCAGGAACCGAGTCAAGAGACAACCCCCGCTGCAGCGAGGATCGGAAGCCTGTCGACGACACATTCCCCGCGGGATGTCACTCCCCAGGGTTGCGTCGCGTCGCGCACGAGGCGCCGCAAGGGGTCGGGAAAGGGTTGCTCGCGTCCCCCGCACCCTTTTCCGTCGTGTTCGAGTTCACGGAGCGTCGGGGATCGTTCGTCTATGTAGTGTGGGAGTCCCCTTTGATGCGCTCGACCATAGAGGTCGAAGACTTTGACTTCCAAGGTCTCCGCGACACGTGCGCGCACCCCGCGCCGCGCAGCACCCGGATCGGGTTCAACCGTCGCGCGAGGCTGCCCCTGGATCCCGGCAGCCAATGGGACCCCGAGCACGAGCCGCGCGGCCCCAGAGCACCGGCGCGGGGGCTCTGCGCGGCCCGGGCGCGCCATCACGAACGACTCGGCGCCGAGCAGCCCGTCCCCCGGGCGGCCCGTCGCGCTTCCAAGCCGAAGAAACGCCGGAATATGTCACCGTACATGGCCACGGCCGTGCGCAGCCCGCCAGGGTGGGCGCGGGGGCCCAACTCGCCGACTTCGGTTTGAGTTCCAGGAACTCACGCTCTTGGCATTCGATTGCCAAGAGCGCGAGTT